TAGTTTTGGCCAAAACTAGGCCTTATTTCGGTGCGATGACGGCGTGACGACGGTGCAACGACGGCGTGACCACAGCGTGACGACGGCGCGACGACGGCACGACGACGGCGCAGCGACATCGTCGTCACGCCGTCGTCGCGCCGTCGTTGCGTCGTCTCGTCGTCGTCGCGTCGTCGTCGCGTCGTCGTGGTGTCGTCGTGGCGTCGTCGTCGTTTCATCGTCGTCATGTCGTCGTCACCTCGTTGCTTGGTCGTCGTCGCGCGCGTCTTTTGCATTCGTCGCATTTTGAAGTTTCTACTAGTGTACAGCTCTTGGCCCTTGATAGGTAATAATCAATTTTTTTGAACCACTAACACCTTGCTCTGCTGCATCCGTAAAATTTCTTTATGGTTCTCACAGAGCCAACAGCCACCACTTATCCCGCTTAGAATCATTAGCTGAAAGCTGAGGAACCTTCATTTGCTTGGCTGCAGCTTCCTGGACCTCACGACTCTCGAAGCTTTAGAGTTCCCCGCGGCTGTCGAAACTTTCGCAAAATTGGCTGAACTCTGAGGTCCAGGGACTTCGAATGGTTTACCCGGCAACGAGGGGGCAGCAGAAATCAAGGGGCAAGCAGACGCACAGCGAGCAAAACCAAGCAGGGCAGCTGCAGCACGCCTTTTGCTGCAACGCGTTTTGAACGTCGGTGCTGCCAGGGTGCAACTTGCAAGGGCTGTGCACGCCCAAGCTATACAAGCGAATGCGTCGCACTGTCACGGTGACGTTCGCTCCTGTTTGTATTCCTGCGTTGCCTTGTGATGTGTTCTATCCTTTTCTCGTGGAGTTTTTCGTGCACAGTGCGCAGCTGTTTCTCCCTGATTGCGGTGTCTTGTGTCTGTCATCCTTTTCAAACTGTCGCCCGATGTGACGTTCCATCTCTCTTGCAGTGGCCTGTTCCAGGCGTTGCCTTCCCTTCTTTCCATTCTTGTACTTCACTCCTGCTGAGTACTTTGTTTGCGAGGTTCTGTCTACCCGTTGATTTACTTTCTTGAACCTGTCCGCGATCATCTCAGCTTTCCATTCTGTTGCGAACTTGCAGTCCTTCAACGGCAACCGTTCCGCAAGTTTTACTAGGGTGTTTGCTCGCTTCTTGTCCTTCAAGGCCAAATATCACATTATCTTGCAATCCCGCGTGTTCATTTTTGATCCCTGAAGGTGCCACTGATTTTGACGCGGAGACTGATGGATCTAATCACTTCCAACCCTGTTCACCTTTTAGTATACCTGCTTCATGGCTTCTGACTTAATAAAGTCTATCATGTTCTGATGGTCGCCCCGTCGCCTGCAAAGGTAATCCTCAGCTCGCAGAACGATGTCCCAAAAAATGCTGAATGAGAACAGGAATATCAGCCCCGTAGGCCTTATGTAGTGAAACGGGTTGCTGTTCATACAGTTCTGCCCAACAAGTTGCACAGAAACAGTTGTTGCTACTTGCCTGGGTAGTATCTCATAAAGTGTGTACATGGCGCGGTAGGCTGTTCCGTAGCGGTTCCAAATCCAGACTCTGTCTTCAAAGTTGTTCGCAGAGTCAGTAATGAAGTCTTGCAACAGATTGCCCAACACCAATGTGCCCATCCACATGAAAACCAGAAGCAATACCATGCTCCATCCAAGGGAAGGCAGAAAGCAGTAGCACGCCTTCACGAGCACCCGCAATCCGCGGAAGAATCGGAAGGTGCGAACCAAGCGAATAGCACGAATACATTTGAGAACCCTGACCATGCGCAGCATAACAATATTCTGCCCTTCAGCGCCCTCTGACATGGGCAAAATCACGAACATGTCCACTAAGCCTGCAATAACCAACAATGTGTCAAACCAGTTGGCCACATCATAGATGAAGCGACATCTTTCCATGATTATTCTCAACATCAGCTCTGCGAGGAATACGAAAACGAAAACTGCATCCTTAGTTAGCACCAGCTGAAACTGAAAACTTCGACCGCATTTGCAGCGCACGCACACGTGTGAGGTGCACACGCATGCTTCAGCTTTGATGCAAGTCTCGAGGGTCCTGAAGAGTGGAGAGACGTCGTCTAGGATCGGACCATCGCCCATGCCTTCAGGCTGGACACTAAGGGGAAGAGTAAGGAACATGACAATTGCAACTGTGGCAAGGGAGTCATCAGTTGGACTCCTGCAGCCAACCTCCCGGCCTATAAGCGCACCCACTGCTCGACCTTCGACCTCTAACTCGACCTCAGTCCGTTTCAAGGCAAACGAGAACGTACTAGCAAGCACCTCGTTGGGCCCCTGTGTGATTAATGCCAAACCCAATAAGTGTGACAGCTACTACACTGCATCGACATGATCCTCATCAGCAGTATGCTTTGACGCCCAGAGGCGAGCATGACAAAGGAGTTGATAAGCACCAGCATTCCAGCAAGTAAATCGGTCCAAGCTTTGGTTCTATCAATGAAGTTGTCCAGCCCCAGCAGGTCCTCCGCTGTTGGCTTGGAGTGATTCGACTTCTTTGATTTTGTCCTGGAAGTCGATGCGATGCTGGCAACAGCCTCCATCTTGTGCGAAGCAGTGCTTTGGTCATGGCCGTCGAGAAGCATGTCTGCGTGGTCTGGCACGTCCTGGAACACCTCCTGAAGCGAGCTGTCTTCGTTCCCATCTTTGGTGGCACAACAATCCAATGGACTTGCACCACACAGTGCCATCCCGTGCCGGCCGAAACCTCCGCGCGTTAGGAGATCCAATCGCTCCATCCGACCAAATGCGAATTGCACGGATCGGCTGAACAGTGCATGCTGCTCTTCTGCAAGCTGCAGCAACTGCGCTTGCTCTTCAGAGATGACCCGCAGAATCTCATCTATGTCCTCCGCCCACACCTTCGGCTTCGGCATGGGGAAGCCGTCTTCCCGTCTCCCTTTAGGAGATGGGCTCTTCGGCGATTATGGCCAAATGGCTGTGAAAACAGGATAGCAAACACTTCACCCATGGTCTGAAAGAGCAGACCAAAGCAGGATGTATGCAATGCAATGCTTGCACTGCTGAGGATTGGACATCGATGTTGGTCTGGAAGGTCGCAGCCTCCGCAGAGTCCACCAACACTTCAACCAGGAGCTTCGCCGTTAGCACCTTGGCCGGTGGCAGAAGAAGCTTCAGGAAACCAGCCTCCAAAGTTCCGGAGGACGCATGCACCTATGCGACCCACACATATCCCCAGTGGTGGTGAAATCTGATATGCTGGACATGCCACAGGTAATGAGCTCAGAGGGCCGGCTTCTGCCTGCGCTAACAGATGACACGATATCCACAAAATCTCTCAGATTTTGCCACTGCTCTTGTAGCAGGGACTCTGGCAGCTCCCAGCACCTCATTGAAGCTGGAGGCCAGCTGCCCGCCCCAGCCGTCGTCCGCCTGCCAGCAATGATTGGAAGCTCAACAAGAATGAGAAGATGTGTCTAAGCGTGAGTGAATTCTAGACAATGGCCCTGACAAGCACCAATAACATGGTGCCTTTCAGCCGGTTCTCATGGTTATTGACCATAATCTGGCCTCAGTCAAAGTCGAAGTCAAAGGCTCTTCCTCCTCCCTGTTGCTCCATCGTGACTGCCTGGACATGATCTGGGCAAATTGTGCCTAAACACAGTCTGTTCTTCAAGACTCATGTAGCGGGCGTTGATCAAAGGAACCCTTCGTCATGCATGGCACATGCCGCATCAGAGCCATGCCCGCCACAAGCAAGCGGTGAGGAGCAACCAAGATGCCTGGGTACAAACTCAGGATGGTCGCGGCGCCGCATGGCCAGCGGTTTGCATGCTGCTTTTAAAAGAAAAGATCGTGAAATCCAGACCAAGTTTTATGGGTCTGGTCGGCTTTGAAAAGGCCAAGGCCAGACTGCTTACAGAAGCACCTTGGAAGTGATCTTTCAGATTCATGATCTTTGTAAAGGATAAATAGTCCAATAATAGTCCAGCCTTGAGCCACGTGGATTAGTTCCCATGTTGCACAGCGCAATCCAAGCACGGTTGGACATGTCCCAGATTGTCAATGCTTGAGTAGGCTGCATTTTCTTTTCCATTCCCCCTATGTTTCTAACAATACGTGTAATATGAGTAGTAACGGTACACTAATACTGATGCTAATGCCATTGATGGCACTGGGCAGCAGGCCTCCTGTGCAATTGCAACCTTGGGAACCAAAAAATGTCAGGACGAGTACCAGCTCATGTTACGTCTCGTGCTGAGGAAGATGCCACGAGTTCATCAAACTTTTGCTCCATCTTCGCAAATGCCCACAACCTGCGCATCTCTTAATCTCATTCCCGCTTGCCCTGGCTTGCGGCACAGTATCGCATCATGCGCAACTTTGAAACTTTATCGTCGGCTCCCCGGTCCAGCTGGGCTTACGATGAGCCCTTTCGGACTCCAGGCTCACATGTCAGGAGCTGCGTCTCATATTGGCAGTGTCCATTCTGGCATCATGTCGTGCGGTTACTTTCCAACAGAGAGCTCGTTCGCCGGAAACGTCCCAATTCTTAGTGCGATGCCCTGCTTGCACGAATGGCACAGAGACCGTCCGCACCCCTCAATATCCGCGATGTGAATGTTGACATTGGCAGAGTTGAGCAGATGGGCCATCTCTTCCGCGTCGTCACATGTCGTCAACATGCACTGCCACGAGCTCACTGCCAGAGCCTGTCAGCTCGGCAACAGACAGAGCGCCACACGAGTGCGCAAGTACTCATCATCAAGCCAGAGCTGTTCGCGCTGAACGAAGTCGGCAATCACAACATCCCCGCGCTCCAAATCAAGCTCCTTAGCATGCCCTTACGAACCCTTGGCTGTGCACTCCCTGCATGACATATGCTGTAAGCCCGCAGGATGCCATGGGGTTAGGTGCAGAAAATCACTGCTGCATCGCTGAACCAGCGGCATCTCTTCCGTGGTACTGGGCCAGCACCAATGCCTGCGCAAAGCTGGTAGCAAGGTCATCATAAAAATGAAACGATATTTGCTGAGCATTGCTGAAGCTGGGATGACGTACAGAAAATCAGCCTGAAGCCAAAACTGCAGACTGAGAAACCTCCTTGGAACCCAACTCACAGCCATCCAAAGCCTCACATTACATTGCGGTTCGTCTGTTCGCAGCTACTTCAGTCTGACAATTTTCTTGCTCGTCCGCCATCTACAAACACATTAGACCTATCCCCGCTCTTGGTGCTGTGTACGTGAGCCCTTTGCCTCGGTCATGCACTGCACCCCAACTGCCCGTAGGCCCTCGGCATAGCTCCGACGCTCCAGCTCTGATCGCTCCTTGCGGACAGAAGATGGATCTTATTCAAGTTAACTTTTCCTGTTTCTGCGGGCCGTCATCGAGATTTTTACCAGATTCTGGCAACATTGTCTCATCAAATTGAAGTCCTGCCCCTTGGGAGGATGGCATGATCTTGTGGGATACTGGGGGACCACTACATCAATGGCCACATGCGTCTGCAAATGTCTGCAGTCTGTCCTGAGTGGCACTTTTCCAGTAATCCTCTGCAGGAATCGGATTGCCAGTGAACACCTTCACCTTGAAGGCAATAGTAGTCATACTAATAGTTATAGTCCTAGTAATCGTAATGTTAATAGTAATAATGCGATAGCAAGAGTAATAGTACTTGTAAAAAGTCTAGCAATACGCATACGCACTCAGCACCCAGGCAAGCCTGCCCGCACTTTAAGCATCCGGATTTACTCCTCTTCCTCCAAAGATTTGAGAATTTGACTGTGCAAACTGGGTGGCAGTCATGCTTGGCGGTGCACCATCTTCAGCCTGCGTTGCAGATGGGATCCATCTTGCAAGTTGTCAATGGGCTGTATACTTGCTGCGACAATGCAGCTGCGCAGACGCTATCGCACGTGCTTGGGCCTGCTCCTCCATCCAAGCCTTCACCCGCGAAGGAAGGCCCCTGCGATTAATTGATGGCAAATGAAAATTTGAAAGATCAGACCGGAGCGAGCATTCAATTTCCGAGCCAAGCTTCTCTGGATTGGGCACTTCTGCAACGGTGCTAAGGAAGCCTGCGGCGAAAGCAGCAGTGATCTTCCAAACATGCCCCAGACTTTCATAGGCGAACATTCTTTCTGAAACAAAAACGGCCGCTAGCTTCTGATTATGTAGGACTGTAGTGCTTAAATTGCACAACAGACTGACTGCCTCCACGATCAAGGTGGAAAGCTGCTCTGGCACAGATCGCGTGGTGGACGGCCTCACGAGCCAGTTACTGCCATTTCATGGAATTCCCCACTGCTTCAGAAGGGTCTGTCTGCCTCCCTGGCCCACTGCTTGCCCTATTCAGCTGCCCTGCCAGCCTCACCGTCGCAGCCAGCGCCGGAGTAGAGCGGAGCTGCACAGATAAACAGGGGGCCCAGGTTTTCCGCAAGATTTAGTTTGGGGTGAGTCCAGCCTTGATTCTTGCAACGGGAGCAACCATAGCAAGCTCAAGTTAGAAACGGAGTGACCCTGGAAGGTTATCATTGCACCAAGAAGTTTTCCAGCTTCGGCCGCCTGCTGCCACTGCAGCACTCTCTGGATTTGGCACGAATGGAGGGTTGGCCAAAATGGCCTGGCGGCATCCACAAATCTTAAGGCCCAAGGCTGCACAGAATTACATGTCACGTGTCAGAGCTCTGATGCTGCCTGAAAAGCGTCGGGGCCGACCAGATCCGGAAAAGCAGCATCCTGGACACTTCCCTGGACGAACGAGGACCGCTCGTAGAAGCCATTGAGCGCTGTGTTGAACCGCGTGAACGTCAGGCATCGGGGATTGATGTCGAGGAAGGTTGCTTGCTGCGCGTATGTACGCAGAGCCACGATTCCTTGCACACCGCTGCCACAGCAGATATCCAAAACTCTTTGTGCCGGCTCGCGCGGCGCTGCCGCAACCAAGGCATAAGAATCCAACGACAAGTACATCACGGGTTCAAAATGCGAAGAGTGCTGAGTGTCACCAAAATCGGTGGCAATAAGCAGGTCTTCTTCAAGCGGCCAGAGTGCCACAGCCGAGAAAAGCTCGACGTCAACCGCAGCAAAGTCTGGCTTTGAAAGGATCTCGACTGCCTCCGTGGACGGACACACACGCCAGTAGGGCCCCATGATGCAGCAGAAGGCTTGCAGCCGCAGGAAGGCAGACGTGACCTCTTCTCCCAAGAGAGCAACAACCCTCTGCAGAGGCAGCAGGCGCCGAAGAAGGAAAAGCCGAATAAGATCCACGAGGTCTTGCGATGCCTCTCCCAGCCTCACACGTGCCTGCAGGAATTTGCTGAATTTGACCGTCATAAGCGCTACTCCGCTACTCTCAGCTGCCGTGCCTGAAGGGCGTTCGCCAAGGATTCACCCTTGTTGGAGACAAAGTAAAGCATGGAGGGAAGGCCAGAAGCCTGGGGAGGGGACAAGCTGAGTAAACTCACCTCAGCAGTGTCTGCCCGAGCCTGGGGAAGGTTGGCTTCCGTGTATTCGGCGCGGCGCAGCCTCTCCTTCAGCTCCTCTGCAACCTGAGATGCACGTAGCGTGAAACTTTACATCACGATACACCCTGATGGTGCACAAACATAGTGAGAGAACGCGGAATCCATTATGTTGTTCCAGCAGCTGATTCCACCTCCTTCCACGAGATGCGGGGACCCATTCCTCATGAATTGGGTAACAGGACAAACCCGTTCAGCAGAAATCAGAACAGTTCACGGCACATACTAGGTGCAGAGAAGATGCTGAGTACATCTTCTGCACGGCTACCCAAAGCCACTGCGCAGTCTCGGGCCAGTGATTGTGCCACGTGTGAATCTGGCGAGAGCTGGAGACCTTGCCACGTTAGACATGCTGCTTTGCCGGGGCTTGCTTTGGATAACATGCTCTA